CATCACTATGTATTAATTCAAGTAATTTAGTATTTCTTTTAACTTTAGGAAAAGGATTTCTAGTTATTTTTGTTAGCATGCATGTATTGCATTTATCAATATTTGGATTAAATTTTGGAATCAAGTCCATTTTATACATATCATCCAATCTTCTATAATTTAAATGTCCTAATCTATAATGCCACAAATAAGAAGACTCAATCATATAAGCAGAAACAACTATTTTGTTTTTATTATTAACAATATTTAATTTGAACATTCCATCACACATGTAACCTTTTCCAACAAATATACCCCCTTGGACAGAATGAATTTATCTGCCTCAAATACAAGTTTGAACCCAAACTTATTTAATAGACTTCCAGACACTAAATTTTTTCTAACTTCTGGAAACATAGTAAACATCTTTCAAAGTTAGAATTTTTCCAGAAGTAAACTCAAGTTCAACAGTCCCTTTGCCTTTAATGGTTGCTGTGGAAGAATTTCCCATGTATAGGAAATTTCCATAGTCACTTGGAGTGAAATTCTTGTCATTGCACACATGTTTAGTTGCTCCTGAATCAATCCACCAATCATTATTTTCTTCAACCATATTGATTTATGAAATCATGGCTACAAAGTTTTCAGAAGCAACACCATTTGAAGAAGTAATTTTCTTCTTCAATAATCGACATTCCCTTTTGAAATGTCCTGGTTTTCCGCAATGGAAGCATGTCTTTGTTCTTTTTTTTGAATTTCACACCATTAGCAATCTGTTTGAACTTCTTTTTGGTAGGTTTAGTGGTCTGTCCTTCCTCCACTACATGTACTTTGGCTTCACCAGAAACAGCGACTTGCTCTTGTTTCCTATATTCCTCTTCAATTCGAAGATGATTTGCCAAAGCCTCAAGAGTTATTTCTTCCTTTTTGTGTTTCAGACTTCTTTTAAAGTCTTTCCATGATGGAGGAAGTTTGTCTATAATGGAGGATACAACTATAGTTTCATCTATGTTCATTTTATATTGTTTAAACTGATTAAGCATTCTTTCAATTTCCCGTAATTGTTCTATAACAGAACGTCCATCTACCATTTGATAATTAATAAAGCGACTAACAAGAAATTTCTTACTTGTTGCATCTTCTGTCATGTACCTGGCTTCCAGTTTGTCCCATAATTCTTTTGCAGTAGCCTCGTTCTGGTATGTGTCAAATAAGCCATCAGCCAAACCATTCAAGATGTGACCTTTGCACATATAATCGGCATTGTCCCATTTTTGCCTCTCTCTCGTTGCAGCAACGATTCATTTTCTCCTTCTTCTGGTCTAGGTGTCGTCAAAACATAGACAACTTTCAAAGTTGATAATAGGAAATGCATCTTCTTCTACCATCTTGGAAGTTACTCCATCAAACGATCTAATTTTACAAAGTCAGAAGCCAATTCTCTTAGTGTTCCGCTTGCAGCAGCCATTGTTGGAACGAGATTAAAACCTTAAGATTGTTAGAACACCAAACTGAAAAACTTAGAAATTGGCTTCAAGGCGTGTATCAATGCCACTGTCCTTAAGGTTTTATTCGCCCTCACTTGTAGTGTGCAAAAGAGTTACCGGCGTATAAACCTCGAAGATACAATGAAGCCCAGTGATTGATGGCGTTTTGCACTAACGAAATCAATCCACTGAGCACTCACCGGGGTATAACAAGATTATCAAACTTCTATAATATTTTTTCTGCAGGAAAATAGTATAGAAGAAAACTTGGAAGATGTTTGAGGAAGAAGAAGGAGAGATATTACTGTTTTTTTTCTTTTCATTGGATAAGGAGGGTCATCTTTTATAGGCATAGATGCCTGTTCTCAACAGACACTATTTGTGTCTATTTCAAAGAGTTGCTTTTGTTGGTATTTTTCCAACAGACGTGACTCTTTTCTTATTTTATAGTGTCTATTGATTTAATTTTCAACAGACACAACCCTTTTTTTAATTTTCAACAGTCACAACTTTCCTTCTATTTCGATATGAAATCATATTTTTATTTGAAAATGTCCAACATCTTTATCAAAACTACAAAAAAAAAAAATAAAAGACTCAATAATAGAATAACAAAATTTAAAATTTTTTTCCTATAAAGATTAAAAGAAAAGAAGATTCCAAACTTCAAAATTATATTTAGATACTATTTAAATGTTTTCCCTTTCTTCAAAAAAAAATTTAATACTATTATATTTTTTTATAATTTTTTTTATTTTAACATCTAAAATTATATATAAACTTCAAATAGACTTATTCGTGATTGAAAATAGTATTAATACCCTTTATAATAATTTTAACTAAAATTAAAATTTATATAATTTATTTTATCAAATAATTTACTAAACAGTTTTAATTTAATTTTAAAACTTATTATTTTTCATAAGACCAAACTAGCTCTCAACAAACCTTTATTACTAGCTGTTAACTAATTGTCATTATAACATATTGATCTCAAGTTAAAAGATGTGGGTGAGGCAGAAGATTCCAAAATTAACTGAGTTGAGGCACAAGCGTTACTCTTTTATTTTTTTTTAAAAAAAAAGTAAAAAGTTTATTAGTTTCCAAAGCTTGCATGTTATAACAAGTCTTGCATTTTGTTGACAAAAGCTTTTTAGTGACTTAAAAAGTTAAGCTATGGGTAGAAAAAGAGTCTAAGAAGTCAAGCTATGGAGAGAAAAAGAGTAATACAATTACAAGAGGACTTAATTACTCAAAACGACAATAAAAACATTATCAGGAGAAGATCAACCCATGAGCAAAAGCTTATCCCATTCATCAAGTTACCAATTAATTCTAATTAAGATATACCTACCTATTCATTAAAATATCAACTAATTTTAAACCTAATACCAAAACATCCATTAAAACCACACAAAAACAAAAAGTTGACGTCTCTTGGCCTGAGCATATCAATTTAGGAATCATTTCCTATCTCAAAAGCCTTGGTAACATTCTTGCATCCATCTTCTAGCAGGCAGGCAGCCTGTTCTACAAGCATTACCTTAATTGGAGGGTTAGCCCCAGTTCTACAAATTTCAAGATTTTGTGTAGTTTGAGGATCAACTAACACAGTAATCTTACGCAAGATTAATACCAGATCAATAACTTTCTCAACATTTTGCCAATTTTCAATTACCGACATTCAAATATGTAGCAAAGGAAAGCAGGTTGAACAAAGAGGATAAGTTAAATTATGGCAAAAATATACAACACAAGTTTGCTTGTAATGATGGGATTGGTTTTGGAACAAAGGATAATTTCAAAAATGACAGCATACAAACATAGCAGTTTGCATCGTTTAATCAAATTTTACTAAATCTTCTTTGCTTACATCAGTCTGAGTGGACCAGAAAAACTAGGAGGAATCTCTTGGCTTTATGCTTGTGGAGCAATACCATACCATTATCTAATTTACTGGTGTATTGCGAGAAAGATGCTAATTAATTTAAGTCTTTTTTTTTAATTTTTTATAAATTCGTCTCTCAAAAAAATATAATACAAATTTAAGCATGATCATTACATAATTAAAGTGCAAAAAGATAGAAGAAAAATGTGGGCTCTGGTCACCCAGCTTTGTCCGTATGCGGGCTTTTAGAGGACCAGCCAGGAGGAACTGAAGGCAAGCTTATTAGGCCATAAGTCCCGTTATTAGCCTTGCCAACTCAAATGAAGGGCCTGCATATTGGGCCAACGTTGGATCCAAAAATTACATAAGAATTTCAAGTATTGAAGATTGAAGATTTGACCACTAATGCAACGAAAATCCATTTCTGGCTTTGTTTGGTTTCAATATTCTCCTCATCAAAGCCTTTTTTCAAGTTGTCAAGGCTTCAAAGGAGACAAATGTTTAATATAATAAATTTTACCCACGTGAGTTAATCCAATTGGTAAAGAGAGAAGTTTCTTTCTTTATCAATCAAAATTCAATCTTTGTGAAAAACAGAAGATCGATATGATATCTGAAAGTGGGTTATATCCTATCAAAAATACTTTGAATGCATGATGAGTTAGTTTGGAAAGGTTTCTCTCATGGTTTATATGAAATTCAGATTTCATAAATAAAGTTTGATCAAATTGCAATCAAGTTAACTTTGGATTTCAAATATTATTAACTTAAAATTTTCTGTAAGTTTTTCTTATGTAACTATTTTAACTAAACTTGTATCAATTGTACCTTTAAACAAGAATTAAGATAAGAGTGGTGGTCGATGGGATGGCCAATTTCAGCCATGAACGTTAAAAATTCACTTGCAATTTGGGGTCCCCCTATCCATATAAGCCATTCGTCTTGTTGAAACCTTCATGATAACGCCTATGATCGGATTATTGACCTTTTAATAAAGTGTGTGCAAAAAAGGAACCCCCCTTTGTGGACTTTACACTATAAGACGATCCTCTTCGTTTCTCTTTGTTTACCTTCCTCTTAACTTTCTTGTTTTTATATAAACTTTAATCAATGTTGTCTTCTTCCTTGAAGAAAAAAGAAAAAGTATTATTATTATAAATATTATATCTATGGGTTTAAACCAAATTTGTCCAAACTAAACAAGGGAAAGAAGAAACGAGGCATGTAACTAATACCTATACAACAAATTTCATCTCAAAGAAAATTTTACACTAGAAAATTGACATTTAACATATACTATGAACTTCCTAAATCCTACTAATGTGTTGGGGGGAAAGGATGGAAAACTTAACCCACCGTTTGATTGTTCATTCCATAAGACGTCTGTTGTGAGTTTGGACATTGGATGATGCTCTGGTCCCAAATGTCGTACGAATTTAAACTCTGTAAGATGATGGGCTCCAACCAATTATTAAGGAAAGCAACCTCGAATTTCTTCATTCTAACGCCGTAACGTTTACATGTCACGCTTTTATGACTGTGCAAGTGAAAGGCTTTGCCTCACCATTCACCCAATCGAATGAAAGGCATAATAAAACGTCGAGAGAGCAAAAGCTGGACCCTTCGTCGAGATGTTAACCTCAACTGTGACCCAAAAGAGTGGAAACAAGTGAAATGACAGGACAGTTGGACTGTTTGGCTTAAGCCAAGGGCAATCAGGTCTTTCAATTCTGACAAATGATCAAACTAAAGCAACTTCTCAGTTCTCACTGAACTTCCAAGAACTTTCAGCTTTAGCTTCAGCTTCACCACCCACTTCTCAGTTCTCAAAATGATGTTGCAAGAACTCTCATTCGTTTCCTTAATCAGTTTCACTCTACTTTTCATCCATTTCATCCATGCTGGTTCCACTCAGCCTCCATTTTCATGTGATCCGTCGGACCCATCAACCAAAAACTACCCTTTTTGCCAAACCACACTGCCTATCAGTCAAAGGGCTAGGGACCTTGTTTCCAGGCTGACATTAGATGAGAAAATCTCTCAACTTGTTAACTCAGCTCCTGCAATTCCACGGCTTGGTATCCCGGCCTACGAATGGTGGTCGGAGGCATTACATGGTGTTGCCAATGTTGGCCATGGCATCAAGTTTGATGGTAGTATAAAAGCTGCCACTAGCTTCCCTCAAGTCATTCTCACTGCTGCCTCTTTTGACGCTTATCAATGGTACCGCATTGGTCAAGTAGGTCTAGTAAATTCAATGAAAATTTAGTTGTTTTATTCAATACTTTTTAACTTTTTTAAGGCTGATAAGTTTGCTAATTATAATGATGTTAATGAAGGTGATTGGAAGAGAAGCAAGAGCAATATACAACGCAGGGCAAGCAAGGGGGATGACATTTTGGGCACCGAATATTAACATATTTAGGGACCCCAGATGGGGGAGAGGGCAGGAGACTCCAGGGGAGGATCCACTTGTTGCAGGGAAATATGCAGTGTCATATGTGAGAGGCCTTCAAGGGGATATTTTTCAAGGTGGGAAGCTCAATGGGCACCTTCAAGCTTCAGCTTGTTGTAAGCATTTTACGGCTTATGATTTGGATAATTGGAAGGGTATAAACCGGTTTGTCTTTGATGCTCGTGTAAGTCTTAGCCAATGTCGTTTCATTTTTCTGATTTTGTGCATTTTTGCGGCAAGCTTCAAAGATTCCTTCTAGTCTTAGGTATGCTTTATGAATTTTTAATTTGATCAGAAAATTAGACAGTAAGACCAATGGATGTGCTTTATTGGGCTTTGCGCTGATTCATGGGTATTGTTTTTAATCATATTTCCTTGAGAAGGAAGGCATGATCAAAAAATTAAAAAGAAAGCTTTTTAATACCTTGGAATTTGATTCCATTGTTGTCTGTCTACCTTGGTTGGAGGACAAACTCTTGAAGCAAGTTGTTCTAGTGGAGGAAAATGCGGTTGTTATTTCACTTTAGTAAAAGCTACTTTACTCTCTAATATCATAAACTCGCTCAAGCAGATAAGCATTTAACTCTTGCTTGAGGTGTAATTCTTTTGTTCGGATATTTGTAGGTTACTGTGCAAGATTTAGCCGACACATACCAACCACCATTTAGGAGCTGTGTGCAGGATGGGCGAGCCAGTGGCGTTATGTGTGCATACAATAGAGTGAATGGAGTCCCAAGCTGTGCAGATTCCAATCTCTTATCCAAGACTTTGAGAGGAGAATGGGATTTCAAAGGGTAATTTATTTCAATAAAGTGCATATTCTTTTCCTGTCATTTGTCAAGACCTCAATGACAATTTAATAGGTTAGAAAAAATGATTTGTTTTAATGGCCTCTATCCACTGGTTTAAAATTTTAATCAGGTATATCACATCAGACTGTGATGCAGTCGCGATCATCCATAATGATCAAGGATATGCCAAATCACCCGAAGATGCTGTCGTTGATGTTCTTAAAGCTGGTTTGTGGGACCTCAACCCTTCTAATGTTATCCTTTGTATTGTTGCAGCAACATGTGCCTGTGTTTCTACTTATTTTTTCCTGTGTATTTTCACATTCTGTCTCTTTGCTGTGCCCCTCCTCCTCCTCATCACACAATTAGTGTATCTTCTAGGATTTTGGATCTTAGATATTGGACCACTGTGTCTGATGCCCATGTGGGCTCATACCTTCGAATCCTTAGCGAGGGGGGCTTTTGTTCACAGCAGCCTTCTAATACTTCTATCTTATTTTCTTCTTCTGGATGCTTAGACTGCTGCAATTCTTTACCATGAAGGGAAAATAAAAAATACTGAAATGACTAGCAATCTGTCTTTTTAACATTTTCTTCACCTAGAGTTCTAGCTGGAAATGCTGTTGTGAAAAATGTGCAGGGATAAAATTTTAAAAAATGTGATGAAATTTTGATAATTCATCTTTGATCATTTCTATGACAAGCATCATAAGAGAATTTAAAAGGTGATACTTGCCATATGTAATTTCTGCAATCAAAATGAGATCTTAGAAGGACAATGCTAATTGTGACAATGTTTATTTAGAAATTCTTAATGTGATTTAGTTGAAAACTTGCATTTTATAAAAATTGTTTAGTCTCATTTTTCCTTTGTGAAAGACAACAAAGAGGCAGTCTCTTAGGTAGAAGTTGTAAACTACTTGTTGATCCTTGGCTTATTGGAATAGCATGAAACATAATTAGAAACCGACTACTGCATCCCAAGAAATGGTTTAAGTTTGTTCTGTCAGATGGATTTGTACTGCAGGTGAATTTCATTTAACCTTTCAATCAGGAGAATTTCGTGGATACAACAAATAGATGCAATTATGTTTTTCATTGACAAACATTTACAGGCATGGATATCAACTGTGGATCCTACTTGCAGAAATATTCCAAATCAGCAGTTATGCAGAAAAAGCTGCCTGAATCTGAAATAGACAGAGCTCTCCATAATCTATTTGCTGTTAGAATGAGATTAGGCCTTTTCAATGGAAATCCAGCGCAACATCCTTTTGGCAACATTGGGACTGACCAAGTTTGCTCCCCAGAGCACCAGATTCTGGCACTTGAAGCTGCTCGTAATGGCATTGTCCTTTTAAAGAATGAAGAAAAACTTCTTCCACTTCCAAAAGCAACCATGTCCCTTGCTGTAATAGGCCCAAATGCCAATTCCCCACAAACACTTCTTGGAAACTATGCAGGCCCTCCATGCAAGTCTGTCACTCCTTTGCAAGCTTTTCAAAGCTATGTCAAGAACACTGTTTACCACCCTGGTTGTGATACAGTTTCTTGTTCTACTGGTGCGATCGACAAAGCAGTAGACATAGCAAAACAGGCAGATTATGTTGTGTTGATAATGGGATTGGACCAAAATCAAGAGAGAGAGGAGCTTGATCGTGTTGATTTGCTGCTCCCTGGGAGGCAACAGGAACTCATCACCAGTGTTGCAAAAGCCGCAAAGAGACCAGTTGTTTTGGTGCTTCTTTCTGGAGGTCCAATTGATGTATCTTTTGCCAAGGATGATCCGAGAATCGGGGGCATGTTTTGGGCAGGTTATCCAGGAGAAGGAGGAGGTATTGCACTTGTAGAAATTGTCTTTGGTGATCACAACCCAGGTAAAATGCCATTGACCATGGTTAAGAGAGAAGGTTTTTCTCTTATCTATGTGAAAGAACCAATGTTGTTCTATTCCTGAAGAAATATTATGATTAAAATGATGATTCACTACATGTTGCTATGCAGGAGGGAGATTACCAGTAACTTGGTATCCCCAAGATTTCACCAAAGTACCAATGACAGACATGAGGATGAGGCCTGAATCATCTTCAGAATATCCTGGGCGCACTTACAGATTCTATAAAGGAGACAAAGTCTTCGAATTTGGTTATGGCCTCAGTTACTCAAAGTATTCTTATGAGTTCACACGTGTGTCCCAAAATAATCTTTACTTGAATCATTCTTCAAGTTTTCATACAACTGAGACCTCAGATTCTGTGAGATACAAGCTAGTTTCAGAGTTGGGTGCAGAAGTCTGTGATCAAAGGAAGTTCACAGTTTGTGTTGGAGTGAAAAATCATGGGGAGATGGCAGGTAAGCATCCAGTATTGCTATTTGCGAGGCATGGAAACCATGGCAATGGGAGGCCAAAGAAACAATTGGTTGGATTCCAAAGTGTGATTTTGAGTGCAGGGGAAATGGCTGAAATTCAGTTTGAGGTGAGCCCCTGTGAGCATCTAAGTAGGGCCAATGAGTATGGTCTGATGGTAGTGGAAGAAGGCAGACATTTCTTGGTTGTAGGAGATGATAAGCACCCAATTACTATTATAATTTGATGTAGGTGGATAAAGGTTTCTTCTGATATTGATCAACCCCAAAATGTGGGCCTCAAGTTCCCATAATAATTTATCATGTACGTAAGATATAAATATCCATTATGTATTTCTAGGAAGAAACTTTGATTATTATTGTTTTACTTTCTCGGTGTCGGTTGAATACAATATATCACACATTTATTTGGCCGGTCCTCAGAAAAGCCAATCTTCAGATTAAGCTCATCTTGACCTTCCAAGATGCACTAAGATATCTTCCAGACCAAACAATTGCATCGGATGCCTTCTACTTGAGGAATTAATATATATATATATATATATATATATATATATATATAGTGAAGGGTTACTTGTATGGAATTGGAAGACAGACACTGATAGTGCTTGTAATCCAATTTCTTTTTCATCTGAAGTTTAAGTTGTAACACCATAAATAGTGAAGGGAGAGTAGAAGACTTAACTTCTGTTTACAATGATTAGATACAAATGGGACTAGAATAATGTCTAAATTTTTAGTATTACTGCGCAGAAAAACATAATACATCTGAAATTAAACTCACTTTGGCAATTTAACGTCGATGTATTCTCTAGTGTCGGCCTTATAGTCGATACTTTCACATCCAACAGTAGATAAGTAGGCATCCTCCATTAGGCATTTGCTTCTAGGTAATATTCTGGTATTGCCTTCTTTTCCTGCTATCAACAGTGAGACTGCATTAACAGCCTTTTGTTTTTCTGCTTAAATATGAAAGGCATAATCGCTAAAGACAGACACAAAATGGTCCCCTGGACCTTGACCATTATTGGCTTACACTGCAAAGCATCCAATATAAATCAGAGCTAAAGCTGGATCGAGTTAAAAAATGCTACATCTACATTACATATCTTAAACTGGGTATAAGAAATGGAAAATTTCTTGCGTACTAGGGACTACTAACCTGGTTTAGTAAGATCGATCAATAATACAGCATATCATTTCTTAAAACTTTATAACTGGACCTGTGATTTTAAAGTCGAGGGTGAAATTCTTGAGTTTGTCTTATTTTTATAAAAATCATGATTTAACAGCAAGAGTCGGACCAGCCTAACAGCGACCTTGTTGATCCTATAAGACATGCTCCACAGCCCCCCACACTTGCCTTGCCTCTGCACTCGTTTCTACTCAAAACGATTCACGAAGATGAAGCTCCAAAAGCTCTTTCTCCTTACCCTCATTCACATCAGTTCAATGCTGCTGCTCGTCTTGGCTGACTCCACTCAGCCTCCATTCTCCTGCGACACATCTGACCCACGAACCAAATCGTACCCTTTCTGCAAAACTACACTTCCCATCAACCAAAGGGTCCAAGACCTTATCTCCAGGCTCACATTAGACGAGAAGATATCCCAACTCGTTAACTCAGCTCCTCCCATTCCGAGACTCGGCATCCCTGGCTATGAATGGTGGTCCGAAGCCTTACATGGTGTTGCCTTTTTGGCCAACGTAAGCCAAGGTATCCGTTTCAATGGAACAATTCAATCTGCCACCAGTTTTCCTCAAGTTATTCTCACTGCTGCTGCCTTTGATGCTCGTCTTTGGTTCCGCATTGGTCAGGCAAGTCCTATAAGTACTGTTCTATATTGAACTAAAGTATATAACTCAAAAGACAAGAACCGTTTTTTTCTTTTTGGTCCTTCTGCTATTCATTTTTCAGTTTATGACACATACAGGCAGTTGGAATAGAAGCTAGAGGAATATACAATGCTGGACAAGCAAGGGGCATGACTTTTTGGGCACCAAACATTAATATATATAGAGATCCAAGGTGGGGAAGAGGGCAAGAGACGCCTGGTGAGGATCCATTGGTTACAGGGAAGTATGCAGTGTCATTTGTGAGAGGGATACAAGGGGACTCTTTTGAAGGAGGGATGCTTGGTGAACATCTTCAAGTTTCAGCTTGTTGCAAGCATTTTACTGCTTATGATTTAGATAACTGGAAAGGAGTGAACCGATTTGTCTTCAACGCAAAGGTATGTAAAAGTTTTAAAATTTTTAAGTTCTAACTTTATTTTGATCTAGTATTTCTATCTGTTCGTTTGCGTTTGCTTAATTTGAAAGATTCCATTAAATTGATTATTCATCTGCTACCTTTTTTTTTCCCTTTTTCTGGATTTCAGGTCTCTTTACAGGATTTAGCAGATACATATCAACCTCCATTCCAGAGTTGCATACAGCAAGGGAAAGCCAGTGGGATAATGTGTGCATATAATCGTGTTAATGGAGTCCCCAACTGTGCAGATTACAATCTCCTGTCAAAAACAGCCCGAGGGCAGTGGGGTTTCAATGGGTAATCATAACAAGGCTTTTTGTTCCTTTGGCAATAACAATACTAATTATACAAATAACAAGTTCTTTTAGAAAGATGATTTTGAGCTTTTATTGATTAAAAAAAATCAGGTACATCACCTCTGACTGTGACGCTGTCTCCATCATTCATGGGGAACAAGGATACGCTAAAGTACCAGAGGATGCCGTAGCAGATGTTCTTAAAGCTGGTATTGAGGAGCAGTTTTGCTGCTACATCAACTCTATATTTTGAACTTTTTTTAGTGTTAATCGTCATTTTTATCTACAATATGCTGGTTTTTTGTCATCAAAAGCTAGGCATTGTTAGAACAAAAAGTTAGGATAGTATGCCAAGAACCATGTTAAAATTCCAGAAATGGTTCTAGTTGATGGATGCGAATAGCTTCATCTGAACTTTTGATCAATGAATCTACAGGAATGGATGTCAACTGTGGTAACTATTTAAAGAAGTACACCAAATCAGCTGTCAAAAAGAGAAAATTGCCTATATCTGAAATAGACAGAGCCCTTCACAACCTTTTCTCTGTTAGAATGAGGCTGGGGATTTTCAACGGTAATCCAACTAAACAGCCCTTTGGCAACATTGGTTCAGACCAAGTTTGTTCCCAAGAGCATCAGAATCTTGCCCTTGAGGCTGCTCGCAATGGCATTGTCCTTCTAAAAAACGCTGACTCACGCCTTCCACTTTCAAAAACGGAAACTACTTCCCTTGCGGTAATAGGCCCTAATGCCAATTCTGCAAAAACACTTGTTGGAAACTATGCAGGCCCACCTTGCAAGTCTATTACACCGCTGCAAGCATTGCAAAGCTATGTTAAGGACACCAGGTATCACCCAGGTTGTAGTGCAGTTAACTGTTCTTCTGCTTTGACTGATCAAGCAGTGAAGATAGCCAAAGAAGCAGACCATGTGGTGTTAGTAATGGGTTTGGATCAAACCCAAGAGAGGGAAGATCATGATCGTGTAGACTTGGTTCTTCCAGCAAAGCAACAGAACCTGATATCTAGCATTGCAAGAGCTGCGAAGAATCCTGTCATTTTGGTGCTTCTTTCTGGCGGTCCAGTAGACATAACCATTGCTAAATATGATCAACACATCGGCAGCATTCTATGGGCTGGTTATCCAGGTGAAGCTGGAGGACTTGCACTAGCAGAAATTATATTTGGTGATCACAACCCAGGTGAAGTCTCGTTCGCAAAGCTTGTAGGATATAATTAATTTCCTTTCTTTGCATGATTAATAAAAGGCATAATATAACACTTTCTTGTACTGGAGATAAAATTACTGAAGTGGTATGCTTCATCATATTCGTATGCAGGAGGGAGGTTGCCAGTTACTTGGTATCCCCAAAGTTTTATTAAAGTGCCAATGACAGACATGAGAATGCGTCCTGAACCATCTTCAGGCTATCCTGGACGCACTTACAGATTCTACCAAGGACCAAAGGTTTTTGAATTTGGCTACGGTCTAAGCTACTCAAAATATTCTTATGAATTTCTCCCTGTAACACAAAACAAGGTTTGTTTAAATCATCAGTCAAGTAATAAAATGGTTGAGAACTCAAATCCTGTCAGATACATGCCAGTTTCAGAGATTGGAAAAGAACTTTGTGATAAAAGAAAGTTCCCAGTCAAAGTTGGAGTTCAAAACCATGGAGAAATGGCAGGTAAGCATCCGGTGTTGCTATTCGTGAGGCAGGCAAAGATTGGTAACGGGAGGCCAATGAAACAATTGGTTGGATTCCACAGTGTTAATCTGAATGCAGGGGAACGTGCTGAAATTGAATTCGAGTTGAGCCCTTGTGAGCATCTTAGCAGAGCCAATGAAGATGGTTTGATGGTGATAGAGGAAGGGTCTCATTTCTTGAGCGTTGGAGACAAAGAATCAGAGATTACAGTTGTTATATGATACAAAAGACCAGCTCTCCAAATAACGGAAATTTTACAGTTAATGAACCATGTTTCTCTATCTATAATTCAGCTATCCAATAAAAAGCTGTCTTGTCTCCTTTGAAAATCGTTTTCACTTGCAAATTGAAGCTTTAGCTGCATATTATATGAGTAAAATCTTGATTTCCCTACAATTCTTTTTCTTCAACTACAAAATAACAACTTACAAGCAAAAATGTAATGCAGTAAAAGAATGAGAACCAGAGGAACCCTAAAGCAATGATATGAAGCATTAACATGTAGCATGGCAGTATAGTCCATATCATATTTTGCCTTCACTGAGATTGAGTTGCATTCAAATCTGCCTCCTTTTTTTATAATTATTTTTTTGTTTCTTTTCATTTGTATTATAATTTGGATTCTTTGACATGAAATAGTTCTAGGCTTAGCCATTTAACCAACACTATTGGTAATGGCCTCTCATTCTGAAGTATTGTAATCCAGGAGACAAATAATTTTAGCCCACAAGCTATTTTTCCTTTCCTTTCTGAGATCTGGTTTGTACCGTTGATGCCACTGTTTGCAAATTCAGGGTCCATCCATATATTTCATTAGGGTTTTATCATAATTCTGTTCCTTTCCAAGTATAAGGAGTCATACGGAAGACCTTGTTAAAGCATAACAATAGGAAAAACCAGAATCAAACTGGAGTTCAGGCTATCGGTCCTTGCATACACATGGAAATAAACATGAAGTATAATGGTCAGCCAAGCAGTACTTTGCCAATCACAAAACATAGGACCAGGAATTTTAACAGGGTCATGCTTCTAACATCCCTTGTTTGGTAGTTGAGGGAAGATCATTTTATGTTTTCTTTTTTTGCTGATGGTATATATATAAAAAAATTAAGGAAAGCAGACTCTAACCTTTTGGCCCCACTCGATCCTTTTTAATATTGACATTATCAATCCATAGCTATCTTCCCACGTAGTAGTCGTAGCACCTAGAGAAAACATAGTACATCTGAAATTGAACCCACTTCGGAAGTTGTATACTGCTTTTGAAGGCTAAGCAAATGACACATACTATAATTATGTTGCTTGGTACTCTGATTGAGCTAGCACCCTCCATCAAGAATTCTTACTCAGGAAATATTTTATTGGGTATTTGCCTTCTTTCATCACCACTTTATTAATAGAAACATGGCACGTCGAGTTCTATCAGTAGAGCATAAAGTGGTTGAATGATTGATTGGTATAATAGATGTGATATGTGCGTGCTCTTCTCGTAGGGTTCAAGGAATTCCTGTCCATTATGATCAAGTAGGAATATCCTGTCAACCTCGATTTGTGATATATTCATATTCATATATTAAAACCCTTCAAAACCACAGCAAACGGTAGGCTGAATAGCTTTCTGCTTTCTGGTTAACCAAACTGAAGAACATCATGACTAAATGGTCCCCTAAATCTGGACAACTTTGGCTTATAATTAAATCATCTGATGTGAACCAGAAGGAAAATTTACAAATGTTACATTTATATGTCCTAACTCCTAAACTGTGTAAAAAATGGGAAAAAATACCTTAATTTTGATTGGCTTCCTGCAGGTTTACTGTATTAGCTGTAAGACCAATAAATAATACCCTAAAGTATCATTTCGAAGTTGAGAGTGCCAATAAAGAGTGAAAATTTTGATAGTGCAATAAGAAACATACACTTTTTAAACTTTTTAATGTACAAAAATCACAGTGTAAGGTCATTTGTGTGGATTTGACTGAAACACCAATAGAATTCAGTCTTTTTGTGACCATGCTCGCTGGTCCTACAGTTTGTTTGCCTTGCATGCAAGTTGATGCTTTACTCCTAAGCAAATTGATGATGCATTTAGTTGCAAACTTTACAAGTAAAATTTCGTTTTCCCTACAATTTTTCTTTCTTCAGGTAGAAAATAATTAGAACATTTATCAATGGGCTATAATAGAATGAGAACCAGAAAAATCGGAAAGCTACAATGATCCCCAGAAGAAGTGCATGCATCACCTAGCAAGTCACGAAATGAAGCTCCAAAAACTGCCTCTTCTTACTCTCTGTCACATTAGTTCACTGCTGCTCGTCTCAGCTCAGTCCACTGATCAGCCTCCGTTCTCATGTGACTCATCTGATCCACTAACCAAATCCTACCCTTTTTGCAAAACTACACTCCCCATAAACCAAAGAGTTCAAGACCTGGTCTCCAGACTTACATTAGATGAGAAGATATCTCAACTTGTTAACTCAGCTCCCCCTATTTCAAGACTGGGCATCCCTGGCTATGAATGGTGGTCTGAAGCCTTACATGGCGTAGCCTTTGTGGCCAACATAAGCCAGGGTATCCGTTTCAATGGAACAATTCAATCTGCCACCAGTTTTCCTCAAGTCATCCTCACTGCTGCTTCCTTTGATCCTTATCTTTGGTACCGCATTGGTCAGGTAAGTCCTATAACTAATACTCTATATGTCTATTTTTTTAGTATCCCCTCTATCTTTTTAATAAGAAAACTAGTTAAATTAGAAATGCATAACTTAAAAGAACGAATTGTTTTTTCCTCTTTGCATTATTCATTTTCATTTTATGACTACTAGCAGGCTATCGGAATAGAAGCTAGAGGAATATATAATGCTGGACAAGCAAGAGGCATGACATTTTGGACGCCAAATATTAACATATATAGGGATCCAAGGTGGGGAAGAGGGCAAGAAACACCTGGTGAGGATCCGTTGGTTACAGGGAAATATGCAGTGTCATTTGTAAGAGGAATACAAGGCGACTCTTTTGAAGGAGGGAAGCTTGGTGAGAATCTTCAAGTTTCAGCTTGTTGTAAGCATTTTACCGCTTATGATTTGGATAACTGGAAAGGAATCAACCGATTTGTCTTTGATGCAAATGTAAGTGTGACTTCCAAAGTTTTTTAACTTAAATTTTGACTTTATTATTAGTATTTGTTTGTTTTGCTGGATTCCATTCTGGCCCTAAGTGCATGAGCAATTGAATATTGATCTGCTACCTTTGCTTTTTTTATTCTGGATTTTAGGTAACCATACAGGATTTAGCAGATACATATCAGCCTCCATTCCAGAGTTGCATACAGAAAGGGAAAGCCAGTGGGGTAATGTGTGCTTATAATCGTATTAATGGAGTTCCCAACTGCGCAGATTACAATCTCTTGTCCAAAACAGCCCGAGGACAGTGGGGTTTCGATGGGTAAGAAAATTGAATAACATTAATGAGAAGTCTTTGCCTGTTAGAGATAACAATGACAATAATACAGAAAACTATTCAAGGTCATTCAGAAAGATGATTCTGTGCTAGGTTTCAAATTATTCAGGTACATCACCGCAGACTGTGATGCTGTCTCCATCATTTATGATGAACAAGGATATGCCAAAGAACCGGAGGACGCTGTAGCTGATGTTCTTAAAGCTGGTATGTAAGGGGTCAGCAGTTTATTGTGAACTCTGTATTCTAAGCCTGTGCTAGTGCTATTGTTTTCATCATCTAGATTATGCTTGTTTTGAACATCAGAAGCAAAGACAATTTGGTACTAAAAATTAGGAGAGTACGCTCAAGAAATAGATTATACTCCGGCTATGGTCCTAGTTTATTATGAATGCTGATAACAGCATCTGAAAATTTTAATCAATGAATTTTACAGGAATGGACATTGACTGTGGTGAATATTTGAAGAACTACACCGAATCAGCTGTCAAAAAGAAAAAAGTGTCTGTAACTGAAATTGATAGAGCCCTCCACAACCTTTTCTCAATTAGAATGAGGCTGGGACTTTTCAACGGCAATCCAACTAAACAGCCTTTCGGCAACATTGGTTCAGACCAAGTCTGCTCCCAAGAACACCTGAATCTTGCCCTTGAGGCTGCTCGCAATGGCATTGTCCTTCTTAAAAACACTGACAGACTCCTTCCACTTTCAAATACAAAAACTAATTCTCTTGCTGTAATAGGCCCTAATGCCAATTCCACAGAAACGCTTGTTGGAAACTATGCTGGCCCTCCTTGCGAACCTATTACACCATTGCAAGGATTGCAAAGTTATATCAAGAACACCAACTATCACCCAGGTTGTAGTACAGTTAATTGTTCTTCTGATTTAACTGATCAAGCAGTAAAGATGGTGGCAGGAGCAGACCAGGTGGTACTAGTAATGGGATTGGATCAAACCCAAGAGAGGGAAGCTCATGATCGTGTAGACTTGGTTCTTCCCGGAAATCAACAGAAGCTGATTTCTAACGTTGCAAGAGCTGCAAATAAGCCTGTCATTCTGGTGCTACTTTGTGGAGGTCCAGTAGACATAACCTTTGCCAAGAATGACCAAAACATTGGAAGCATTATATGGGCTGGCTATCCAGGTGAAGCTGGAGGACAGGCGTTAGCCGAAATTATTTTTGGTGATCACAACCCAGGTGAACTTTCATTTATAAAGCTTGTGGGATAATATTACTTGTCTTCCTTTGCATTATAAATAATAATGCAATTATGGTATGCGTCATATTTCCATGCAGGAGGGAGATTGCCGATGACTTGGTATCCACAAAGTTTCATTAAAATACCAATGACAGACATGAGAATGCGTCCTGAACCATCTTCAGGTTATCCTGGACGTACTTACAGATTCTACCAAGGGCCAAAGGTTTTTGAATTTGGCTACGGGCTCAGCTACTCAAATTATTCTTATGAAATTCTCCCTGTAACACAAAACAAGGTCTATCTAAACAATCAGTCAATAGACAAAATGGCTGTGGCATACAAGTCAGTTTCAGAGATGGGAACAGAGCTCTGTGAAAAGAGCAAGTTCCCAGTCACAGTAGGAGTTCAAAACAATGGTGAGATGTCAGGTAAGCACGCGGTGCTGCTGTTTGTGAGGCAAGCAAAGCCTGGCAATGGGAGACCAATGACACAGCTGGTTGGATTCAACAGTATTGATCTGAAAGCAGGGGAAAGAGCTGAAATTAAATTTGAGTTGAGCCCTTGTGAGCATCTTAGTAGTGCAAATGAAGATGGTTTGATGGTGATAGATGAAGGGTCCCATTTCTTGAGCATTGGAGACAAAGAATCAGAGATTACAGTCGCTTTCTCATCTGATACTAGTGGCGGAGCCGCATCAAGGCAGGAGGGGGCTATTGTCCTCCCAAGAATTTTGAAATTGTTTTACATATGTTCATTGCTATGCATATTGTTTTGAAATAAATCTCCTGAAATGAATTAATGGGCCTCCCCAATTCAATTTCTAGTTATAACTCAGATGCCAGTGCTAGCAATCATCCAAAAACTTGATTAACACATTTCATTAAGGTTTCAGTGTAATTTCATTCGTTCTATGTTCAAAGAATCACACTGCAATACCTTGCAAAGCTGCCAAAAAAGGAGAAGCAGAATTGAGGCACTCAGGAACAGAGTTAGCCAATTTTTATTAAGAGTTAAAGATTAAAAAGAATAAAAGTTAAAATTTTTTTAAAATTAATGTATTAAACTTAATCATTAATAATCAAAATATTTATAATAAGTAATAATTTTATATAATAGGTAAATAAAAAAAACTTATAATAGTGCTTTAGAAAAATTTTGTTTAATAATGACAATATTTTTCTTAATATAAATAACTAAATTATTTGTAAGAAATTTATAATCCATTTTGTTTCAAAGTCATGTCTTTTTCAATATAAACGACTAAATAATTGATATAATTAATATTTAATATTCTTATTTTATTATATTTAAGTTTATCATACTAAATATGAAACTACAATGTATAAAATATAAACAGTTCAATACGATATATAAAATTAATAATTTATTTTTATACTCAAAATAATTTTCTTTTAATTAAATATAAAATATAAAACACATTAAAAACATATGCTCAAGATAATTTTTTCTTATATAATTAAAATTAATAAAAAATAATATATTGATAAAATTTTAAACAATAACAAATAATGTAATGTTAGAACTTATATTGAAGAATTACATATATAATAATTTTTTAATTTTTAAAAAATTAAAATAATTAAAAATAAAATTCATATAACAGAAAAAAATCATGACAAGTAGAAAATATAACCTATATAATAAAAAAAATATGGTTGATGATTTGTAGAAATTTTAAAAAAATATATATAGAAACTTAAAACATATGAACAAAGAGAATAGAATTAAAAAAATAAATAAATAAAAATTAAATAAAAACTTTATTTTTTTATAATTTCATAATACAAAGATAAATAAGAAAAGAGGAAAAGATGAGTGGAGAACTTAAAAAATTAAAAAAAATAAAAATTTAAGTAAAATTGAATGAAGCTTGTAAAGTTATTTTTATTATTATTTTAATAATATTAATTATTTAATAAAAATTATTTTACAAAATTATTAAAAAGTATATGATATATAAAAAATATTAAAAATTTTGAAGTGTCATGGCCCCACATTTCAAAGGGACGTTTTGCCCCTTGAGGCAATGTATAATAACACTTAGCCAGCAAGATGTAAATGTAAAATTAAAACCTACTTATCTTCTTTAATTAGAACTATACTTGTGTTTGTCGTCTCTAAACATAGGATGAGTAAGTTTTAACAGGGTCAGGCTTAGGTTATACGTATGTATTCATTTTTGTAATCTGCCATGCCATATGGGAGTTAGCAAATACTATAGAAATCAATCCTCCATCAAAGTGTTTCTCATATATTATCTATCTATCTGCCGTTTCTTTTTTCAATGTATTCTTCAGCTTTTGCCTTTTTAAAATACAGTAATATGTTTTGAAGCATGAGTCAAAGTGGACAATTGTTTATTACCATAATTTGGTCACAAGATTTGAGGCGATTGGTGTGGATCCGGTCGTTAAAGAAGCATATCTGAATGACTGTAGCGTTATTAGAGCATATTATTAAAGTTTTTTTTTTTCCTCTCTATCGTATTTGCCAACAAATATAGTTTGTTTACGAACTTTTATTAATATTAAAAGTGTTGCTATTTTATTAGGCAGGCAAGGGTGGGAAACGGGAATCCCATGAAACAATTGATTGGGTTCCACAAAGTGAATCTGAAGGTAGGAGAAAGGGCTGAAATTGAGTTTGAACTTAGCCCTTGTGAGCACCTTAGCAAAGCCAATGAAGTTGGTTTGAGGGTTATAGAAGATTGTGGAAAACAAAGAGTATGAGATCACAATCATCGTCTGAACACAAGTAGGGGGGTCTGGCAAATTCAGCCACTTTGATAACAAACAGTCGCTACCTAATTTGAGTAGAAACAACCCAAGCATGGCTAGATAGCAATTTCCAACTAGCCACTAGACAAATACATGTTAGCCAGAGCACTTGAGTCATTCATGTATTAGTTGCAAATCCAGGCATTCCAATTTCCTAAAAAATAATCAGCTCTAGTGATAATGGAATTATGACACTAATGGCACTTGAACTAGCATTCAAATTTTTTATTTTGCCTCTAAGCAAGAATTTCCTTCCATGTGAACCCCAGATATGATTTTAGATTATGTAGTCAATTCACCAAACTCTATTAAGTCTGTTTGCTGATCAATTTGCACAATCAACCACGTGCCCAATGAGAATAATGCACAACACAGAATGGTTGGGAGGTATTCCACAATCATCATCTTAAAAATCTTTCAATTGTGGTGTATTTGATACAATGACAAGGATTATAAACAGAACCAGAGTACAAGTATAGGCTATTAATATATCAGATTCCCTAGCGACAGAGCAATAGGTGACACTTACTGCACTATTGTTCCCTCGAAAGGTTGCAACAACAAAACCTGGGTCATTCCCTGTGTTCCACGTCATGGCTGGGACTGTTACCTCACGGGTCCCATCTGGGTGACTGTGATCACTAAATTCATGTGTGTGAGCACTAAAAATAATCCTACAAATAAGAGGAAGGGAGCAATTGATATCACAACATAAAATGAACTTGAATGCAAATTCTGGAACACATTCTCCTTAAGCTATGGACAATGCTATAACAAGAATGCAAAGTGAAGAAACTCGAGCAGGAAAAATCATAGATTTCAAGGAGAGGATAGAAGACAATATGCTTCACTGCCAAAGTTTAAAGGATAGTTACTTTATCATCATTACTTTCATGCCAGCAGCCATATCTAATATCAAAGATGTCTGGAGGGAATAATGAGTTCTATCGTATCATATTCAATTTGCCCGAATTTAGTTTAGTCAACATGTAATCCACCAAAGAAGCATTTTGAAACGCATTAGAGTAGTTCCAAGCATACAATAATCCCCAACAAAAGGGAAAAAGGGGCAAACGAATTGTTATCAGTAATTGAAGTTCAGCCACAATTGCTAACTGCAAATAATAGGAAGCATACATACAATTAGGTGACAATAGAAAGGGCAAAGATAAAGCAAGCAAAAAATTAGTTGCAGATTCTGTAAGGAATGCTTACCTAGGTTTAAGAGCATGAAAAATGTATTCAGTAGCATTTGGCGGCACAGTTTGTGATAGATCATAAGGCCCACTCGCAGAAAAGTTGCTGAAGGAAAAGATTCAACAATTTTTAAGAGAATATTTGGCAGCAGAAGTGAAAAACTATAAACTTTACAAAGTAAAATTCAGTTTACATGCATAGCCCAGAAAGTCTTTACACTGTTGACAGGATCAATAAATACCATGATATCCAGATCTCAGAAAAATGGGTAAAACTAAGCTTAAATTCTTTTATGTAACAGCATTATTCATTGCATTGATCTCCCATGATCCCATCAATAAAAGATGGTCTCGACCAAACATGATCAACTAGGTAGTAGAGAAATGTGGTTTCAGTCCATAATAACTTTGCCATGGGAACTAAATATAAAGGCAGTAGGTTCAATACCATGCCATTATCTTCCAATTCAACTGAAATGCATCTTTTAACATGTAGGGAATAATTTCACTCAAGAAATGGAAGGAAACTTCTAAAGTTAAATCCACGATACACAAGCCGTATGGAGAGTGCAGACTGATGAGATATAGTTACCTGCTCTCTATGAAATTTGAACTATGTCCTGATGGATGAATGGTAGACTTGAAAGCACTACCTTCCCTAGAATAGGTGTTTCCTGGCCGGTACAAAGGAAAATGAAGTACTAGCACTGGTCCAGAACCAGATGTCATAGCATTTTCTCTCCACCCAAAGTCATAGGACAGCTCCCTAGACATGCCAGACTCATCCTTTGTTTCAGCTGTGCTTTTTGTTTTCATTTGTAGATCTACACTTTCCCTTTCTATTACCTTCTCAACACCAAACCTAAGCTTATTATTACCACAAAGCAATGCCACGGCATTAAGTGAAACAAAGCTGATATTGCTAATTTCAAAAGCACCACATCCTGATGAATCCAATCCCGGAAAATTCCTAGCTACCCAATTAACAGACTTTGCATCAAGATCACAACACTCTCCAACATCCCTGTCACCAAGAATAACATGTAAAGGGAGTTCAAGAAACGGTCCCAATATCTGATCAAACTGATGAAACACCGATAACCATTTACTTCTTGACAACTCCGACCCTTTAGCAGAAACATCTCCTAAGACTAGTAGCATATCAGGCTTCAAACTCTGGAAAGATTTCTGCATTGCGTATTAGTAAACAATATTATCTTTTCATTCAAAGTTTCAAAAATAAAAATACAAAACTTTAGCCTCCATTGGTGCTTCTTCTGCTACTTGTTTTTTGCTTGCGGAAGCAAAAAATGTGATCAGATGCAAAACCAAGTAATACTTTAAAAAAAAAAATTAATTCTGTGAACAGCTAAATTTATAATATTACATATTTATATAGAACAACCATATTTGAATGTATGTCCCAATTTAACTATTTCCAATCTTTAATAAATATAATTTTGCATTTTACCAAATGCAACTTTCAGATAAAAAAAAAGGAAAAAATCAATTGAAAAACCAAATGCCAACAGCAACAATCAAACAAAGTCTTGTTGTAATGAACTTATAGAAATACAAATTCTGTATCTCTCTATCTAGAATCACCTCAAACAAGAGATGTTCCCTTAAAAATTCGATGCACCCAGAAAACAATATCAATAAAGAAGACCACTTTGACTAAATGTATGAGATACAAAACTCTTAAAACTTTCAAACTGCTTAAAGCAAACATGGTAAAAAAGAAGAATGACCTTGAAAAACTTGGACATGTAATAATCTCTGAAATAGAGGTTGACAAAACCAGCTTCAGAGCCAAGCAAAAGCAAGTTGGCGACCATCATAACCTTAAGATCCTCGGGCGAACCATCTTCGTTGCCGACATGTTCACCGGGATGGTTGGTGGTGTCAGGCAGGTGCTTGCAAGATGGAAATGAGACCCGCTCCTCATAGACTATAAAAGCAGAGATTATTATTACAGGCAACAAAGACCTCCAAGCAACTGCTACCATTGTCCTCGGTTCTTCTCTGTTGTGAAGGGATTATATCATATGGGTTCGCCATTGTTACTGTTGTTGACCACGAAACTCATTGTTAAGAACAGTAAATCGAAACAATCCTCCAAGGGGTTACTACTTGGGTGAAAACCGCAAACAAACAAAAAAAAACCCTTCATGGCTAGTGACTAGCTGGAAAATTAGGCCCAAGTCTGTATACTAATAAATGGCCCATATAAACCCTAAAATAAATACTAGAATTAAATAAAGAAAGTAAGAAATATAAGAAAGAAAGAATCGATTTTCATTTCATTTCATTTTTTTTTTACCAAACATAATTTTAGAGAAATAAATCAGACCTTTCCATTGATAAAAAGACTTGTCATTAAAGTTTAGTTACTAATAGTATTGCTTCTTAGCTTGAATTAAAGTTTTATTGTGCTCCATACCTTTTTTATTTTATTTTTATTTTCATTTGTTGTTCCTTGGTTGTCCTGACTTCGTAGCCAAACTAGGAAACCACGGGGGCGAAGGTGAGGTGCAATAACACTACAACTACATCTTTGTCAAAGCACAGCACTAGCATGCATCTTCCTTTGTTCATCATGTGATGTGTTTGGGAGAATATGATTGGTGTCTGTTTTACATAAAGCCAAAGTGGATTTGTTTTATACTACTTCATTAGCAACGCCAACATCAATCCAATCTTGTACTTTGTTATACTTCCTCAACCTTACCACACCTGTACCAGTCTTAGCCTCCATTATTATTTATTTATCCACATCCTCGGTCCAGGGCTGGGGGGTTCTGCCTCTTACCTCCTCTGTATCACTTAACTATAAGATAAAAGTTTCAATTTATTATCACATCATTCCTCTTTGAATAAATATATATAAGTTTTGTTTTAAACTAGTTTAAAATTAATAATAAAAGATTATTTTGTGAGCAAATAATGAAATATTCCGAGAAATTAATCTATTTTTATGATTATAAACCGATTATTAATGAGTACTTTCTTTTATTGGTTTAGCCAACGTGTTGCAAGAATTGATAAGTACAAAGATCAATTCAAAACAGTAACCTCAGAACTTAATGAAAAACACTGTACTTTACCAAATTTTGAAGTAAAAATTAACTATGTGTAAACTCCAGAACTATCAGCAGTACCCGAGAATAAATATCAAGGGCTTCAGCTAAAACTTGGCCAATCTCACCGACTCTTTTTAATTCTGACCACCAGTTTGAAATCCCAGGGAACCTATAAACAACAGGGCTTAGCCTGGGCACCAGAGACTCATTGCACGTGACAAATCGTATTGCAACAACAATTATTCAGCACAATTAATTCAAATTAGGAATGGGTTTTGACATTTTTTTATTTATACAGACAAATAAAAAAAGTAATGGCTGTGACCTCATTACCTTGACCAGACTATTTACAGACAAATAATTTTGGTATGAGCTCCATTTTTTCATTGATCTACTTGATGGTTATGCATCATCGAGAGCTTAAGGGCTTGAACTCAGGCCCAAGACTCGGAAGCTGTATGGGTTGTCTATTTTATCAAATCATGGATGCTGACCCAGTCAACTCGTCCGAGTAGGAGATAACTCCAAACCTCGACTCACATGGCAAGGCTAGGGTTGGCTTTTTTTTTTTTCTTTTCCTGCGCTCCTGTTGGCCTAATAATCAGATTCTTATTAAAAATACTAAATAGACGCTTACCAAACAGAGCGTGCCCCACCAAAAATTATATAGGTTAGTTTAGTCACGCCGCGGAGCACTGTAATTTTTTTTTATCTCTGAGCGGTTAAAAAATTTTACGGCTAAGTGGGAGTCTGTCATTATGATTTACTTTTTTCAACCTTTAAACTCCTTTCTTTTAGCTAAATTCCAATATGCTTATCCTTTTCGCATTGATTGTTATCTGCTTAAAAAAGGTTTGCTAATCTCATGCCTGGAAAAGTTTCACAGTTACGAAAATACCCTTTTATTTCTCATCTAGTGCATATTAGGCATTGTCATCTTCATTTCTTTTGCATAATGAAGATCTATTATTCCCTTTTGCCTCAACTAAAATAGTTAGATATATACAACTTATATTCCTTTTCGAAACTAGAAAGGCATCGTCTTTCTTCTTCTTTACTTTTTTTGTCATGATAATTTTGATTTTGGGTAATAGAATATGATAATATTAATAAATTAACTTTTTTAATTAAAAAATTAATTGATGACGATTTAATTTTGATATCAAATTACTGAATTCAACCAAAGTTGACAAAAAAAAAAGATTATCTAGAGTTCTTTGCTTATATGGATATTAAATTTTAGCCATCAACATCAACTCATGGGTCAATTTCTACCCCTAATTTATTCAAGCAGCTATAGTCCATATGCATTAACTAGTAATATAGCTAGCAGTTAAGGATTCCTTCCTCTTTTTCTTTTTGTTTTCAAATAAAGGGAACAAAGGCATATAGTTTTCATGCTTTGAATCTTAAAGGTTATGATTTGAGTACGTTTATTGATATGAAAAAGTCAAATGATTCTCTAAACATTGACATCAAATGAGGACATAATAGTAATTTTGATTGACATGCATTAAAAATGGTCACTTTTTTATTTTGCAAGTCATGGCAGATGACTCATGATTCATGACCATTAAACTCTTTTTACCCTCTCTTTTTAATGATTTTATTTCTTTATTTATTTTCTTTTCCCTTTTTTTGTTTGTTGGGTTACTTGAAAGATTCATGAATCATTTCATGGTGAAGGCAAGCATTTATAAATACAGTAGAAAAGGGGAGAAGGATTAGTTTTTTAGGGGACGTAATTTTGCCAAAAATCGAAGGGGATTAGAGAGAAAAGAAACTAAACTGTAAATTGTTCTTTGATTCTTTTCCTGAAACTTTGAGCAAAAAAGTCCCAACACTGCCACGCGCCTGACCATTGCGTGTACCCACGACCCAATCAATAGTGGCAGTTTCGTAAATATGGGACGCCATCGGCCACACATGGGAGAAACAGCAAAAACACCTAGGTGTCATGTGATAGGACGGTGACGTACCCTTCGCCTAGGAACGCACGTGGGAGTGCGATTGGCTGCCATAGACTAGCCTCCGGCTTGACGAAATTAACCCTCGACAACACCGAAAATGGCAGGTTCTCGTCACCATAATATGTGTCACAATAAAGCTTCTCCCCAGGTACAATTGTCCCGATGATCACGTGGCGTTCCCGTGGACCCCATCTTATTTATGTAAAATCAACTCCCGTTAGCACAGGATTCTTCCCTGTGAGTACGATACACGCAAAACAAACCACACAGCTAATTCAACAATCCTCTCTTTTTCCTCAATTCCCAACATTACCCCTAATCCGTATCCCAAGATCTTCTAGTCTGTCCGTTCAAATAGAGGGTTTTTTAAGTAAATTCGTTTTCATAGGAAGGATAAATAAAATTAAGAAATTTTTTAAAAAAGAAAGGAAAAAGGCTTGGGTTTATTTTTTTGTATTTTATGAAAAGATGACGGGGAAATAATTAAACGGTGAACGGAGAAAAAATTGGCCGGGTAGATGGGCTGGTTATTTCCTATATAAACCCGTTCTCTCCCTTTGGATATTGCATTCCATTTCCAATAGAGAAAGAACTTCTCCCTTCATTCTCTCTCTTTCTCTCTCTCTCTCTCTCTCTCTCTCTCTCTCTCTCGATTTTTTCTCTAATCTCTCTATCTCTCTTTGGCACGATACTTTCTCTGCAGCTCTCAAGAGGTAAAAAGAATAAAAATTAAAAAAATTACAGAAAAGGAAATTCTCTCTCTCAACTGATTGTTTTCCTATTTTTTTTAGAAGTTTTGGGGATTTACTTATTTCGAATATTGGAAAAATGTTGAAGGAATGAAATTAGACGTTGTTGAATCGAAGATCACAGACTTTGACCTGTGGATTAACGCATTGTTTGGATAACCTATCTTTGACGTGTTTTAACAAGTTATTAGGTTTTCTTATTTTGATCTGCGAAAGGTTTAAGCATGTGGGTTTTTTTTTTAATTCGCGGATTTAAGAGGAGATGATTGAAAATGGAGCTAAAGCGTTTAAAAGTTATGCTTGTTTAAAACCCTAGGTTTTTTATTGGACTAGGGGGTTTCGATCTGGCGGTGATTTGAGGTTAATTAGGTGAAACTATTATGTGCTTATCGAGATTAAGCTTAGGTTATTCTAAGTTTAGGGATCTTACGATTCTCTTTAAGTTCGGATTGGGGTTATTTTTAAAATTTGAAGTTAGTTAGGGTTGGGGGCGGGTGAAGTTCTTCAGTTTTTGCAGTAATGTTCACATTGCATACAATTAGGTGAAATTATTTGCTTGGTGTGAGTACTATAGATTGTCTATTGTTATTGATTGAGTTTAATTGCGCCTTCGAAAGTAATTTTGTTGCCTTATTGTGATTGCTTACGTTTTATTTTTTGTTAGGTATTTTTTGGAATGATTTTGATGCATATTGTGATTTAGACAATAATGGTAGATTTGGTAGGTTTTTTAAATTTGTTTATTGATGATAAAAGTTATGTATATGTACCTGGATGTGTTGATTTGGCAGTCAAACTGGCTGTCATTTGGTTTTCGTTTCACTATTAAGGTTTGCATACTTTTTGGTTGGAAATACGTGCAAGTACACATTGCCTTGTTTCCTAAATCTAGTCTCTCTGTTTTTTACCAGATGTGCAACTTGTGTTTCTTTACTGGACTTTGTTTGCTTAAGCTACCTTGCTTTTAGAGGTATCTTTATTAGTTTTGCTGATGATTCTTTACTATATGTACAGTTTGGTATGTCATGCGCTTTTTTTGCTGAAACGAAAACGCAACTAGACCCAGCTACATTGTGTTGGAATAGTCATATAGCTTGTATGCATTTATATATGAAATGGGCTCCCGAGGAAGACTATTATTTGATCTTAATGAACCCCCGGCCGAAGACGATGAGGAGAGTGATCGTGCTGCCTGCTTCCAGCCACAAAAGGCACTTCCATCTGCAAATCTCCATGCTTCTGGCATGTTTATGACACCAGCAGGTCCTCAAGGAATAGTAAATAACAATGCTTTCTCACATGCATCATCTGGTTCAGGTTTTCAGCCTTTTATTCGACCTAAAGTTTCTCCTTACCCTGAAGTAGGTGTTGAACCCAAGGGGGCAGGAGATCAGAATTCCAATTTGGCATCATCATCTTCAAAATCAAATAACATTGGTG